TTTGCCCTTTGACATGGATACTTTTCTCAGACGAGAGGCAGAATAAGTGCCAATACAACACACTGTGGATGTGTCTGAACGTCTACCCTAATCATTATATAAGGCACTATATAGTGGTTACACTATTTTAAGTGAGTTTCCGAAAGCCTAGTGGATGAAAAAGTAGTGGACTCGATATAACTAGACACAGCAACTAGACACATAGACATTATATACGTAGACGCTTCATTTGAAACTGGCTGAAGTGCCTAGGGGGCGGCCATCTTGGATCGGTCCCGCAATTCCGACAGCTGTTGTCAGAATGATAGGAGATGCCATAGATCTCATTTTAATCACATGAAAGACGAGTCAGAGATAATATTAGACTAATCTCTTACAAGTCAGAACCACTTAAAAGACCAAAGCAAATTTAAAAAATTACCTTTACATTAGATTACATATATTTATTCAGATAAACAAATAATTAAAACAGAACTCAAACTGGATGGGAATATATGCAACGTTATATATTTTGCAATTAAATATTAATATGATAAACATATTAAACATGTTTTAAATTAATATATTATAAGATTATGTTTTACAAATACATATATAATGTCTATAACTAGACAAGCAGATATATCCCAGAATGCTTTGCAAGAGCTCTCCTCGCAAAATAATCATAGGATTTGTTGTGACAACGGCCTGCTGTCGGGTAGTGACAGCTATGGTAACAGCAGTAACAAATAACAAAGATTGTGCATACACCATGAGGGGAGGCGGAGTTACGTGTCCAACCTAGAGTAAAAAGTAGGTATCATCGGATGAGGGATATAGTCCCTGCTCAACACAGTGATTGAGGGATATAGGGGTTAGGGCGGATGTTTGGACAAAGCCGAAGATTAAAACAAATCGTTGTTAAAACAAGATACTGTACCTGCAAGCTAAACTCAGCATACTAAATTTGATAAAACATTATTTTGGCTCAAAAGATGTAAAAACATAACCCGGCCCCCGGATTTAATAAAAACGCTTAAGTTGTCAGAGCCTGGAGACTCCAAGAGGAAGGGCTAAATGTGGGCAACAGCGAAAAGTGGTAGCCTAGCTTTAATGAAATATGACCAGTTGGTAGAAAGACACTGGAATTCATTCCACTTGAGGTTGATGAAAGCTTTTAGGAGCAGTAACAGTTGTGCAGGCATATTCCACTTTGTACTGTCTGAACCACTAGGAAAATTCAACTGAAGTAGCCCCTGTTCCACTGCTTAGGGCAATACTAAGCCTGTTTTGAGACAAATATTGCACAACTAAAACATCTCCTTGCAAACCTAAATAAATATTAAAGTAACAACATATAGACCCAATGTGTGCAGTTAAAATGGATTTTTTTTCAAGGAGTTACACTTTAATACATTCTTTGTTCAAAATGAGAAAAGCAAAGGCGATAAGTTCGTTTTTATAAGTTTGTATACCATTTTTTTTCAATACAATAATCAGGAGAAAATTCCCCAGGATTTCCCTGGCCATGTGGAACACTTAGTTACACAGTGTTACCCCTACTACACAGAGGACGCCTAAACTTCTTTCTTGCTTTATAAAAAAAAAATCAATAATTTCTGCAAAATACTGTTCCACCACCCATTGCTCTTATGACAGTAGTGCTGTTTCAAAGCAATAATTAGGAGCTTAAAAGATATAATCAATCAGAAACTCAAGGCTAGCTACCCAGGTAGATAACTTGACTAATTAACTAGCTAATATCAAATTACTATAAACACTATTAAGCTCAAATTGTCATACTAAAATAAAAAAGACAAAAACAATTATTAAGCATGTTGAATGTACTGCAGTATGGTTTTAAAAGCACTACATTTTGGGATCGTACCTACAGATTAAAATGCTTTTAATGAGATAATAAAAAAAGTGACAGTGTGATCACATTTTTATTTCTTGCTGTATGAGCATAGAATAAAGTAACATTGCTACTTCTCAACTTAATTTTGTGTTGCAATGCAGATGGGGGGGGGGGGGGGGGGGGGGGGGGCCTTACTCATATCTACTTCAAAAAGGCAAAAAAGCTATGTCTTGCCTGAAAGAAAGATAATTTTCTGTAATGCTTCTGGTTGAGAGGAACACAGTATTGTGGCATAAGAAATTGTAGATTTAGCTCCCTTACAAGTCATAGGTAGATAGATATTATTAGCGTTAGACATTGTTATATAAATATATACAGTCAGAAAGCAAATTATTGGTGAGTGAACAGTCAGCTAAATTTAAAGGTAGAGCTTGAGGTTTTTTCAGATTAACAATGACAACCTCTGCAACCTGAATGGATATCCCAGGTGAAAACTAAGGTGATTAGCTGGTCATTACACTCAGCATTAAAATATATACAATTACAATACAAGATGAAGAAAGGCATGATTTATGGTAGCCATTTCCATCTATGTGCAACTATGTGGGCTTGGGGGAGTTTGTAACAGTCCTTGAGCACTTGCCAGTCTTTTAATTAGAGATGTCTTATGAATACATTTTCTCTTTAGACTCTTCTTCTGTTTCCAGCTTTTGATTACAAGCAAGTTTTATCTGCAGCCCGGTCTACCGTTTAACATAAACTTCAGTGGTATAGATGTAGTTTAGCTGCCTCTGAAGCACATGCATGAAAAATTGTAATTAGAAAACATCAATGGCAAGTATGCCTGGGGTGAATACAAAAGATCTTTGAGATCAGCAAATCACTGTTAATTTGTTAAGCTAGGTTTATATTTGATGTATTGAACAAGGCACGAGGGTACGTGCCTCTTCCTTGATGCAATTGCGCCATCCCTCCCCCTGCGAGAGGGCGTCACACCCTGTCGCGGAGTCTATTAATATACCTTCGAATTTTTGTGACATGGCACAGACCATATGCACAATGCTCCATTCAGAATGAAAGACATCCAAGAATTTAACACAAATCAGTCAATTATTCAAAAGTAGAAGGGGATAGAAATATGGAAAAAAGGAGGGAAATGTAAATTATATAAATGAGAAGATTGCCCATAAAACTGTTTACAGCTGGAAAGGTTCTTACAGTTGGAAATGTTTTTAATTGTCCTGTTAATGCTGCTACATAGAGGCTCAAAGGAGCGCTACTGCATGCTTATTTGTATAATGCTTTTTGTATTAAATCATTGCTTTTTTATTACCTAAATATACTTAGTTATTTACTAATAATTACAAAGTATCTTTTTAATCTTTATAAGTTATGTCCCTTTTTATTTACATTTTTTTGTCCATTTTGTAAGTTTTGGACTGTCTGTATGTGTGTTTTTACCGCCATTAACTGTAAGATTTTGCCTCTTTGAGACAATGAAGGTATTTCCATTATTATTGCCCCCTGTTATTATTATGTTTTTTGTGTTGTTGTTGATGTTTTTTTGGGATAATACTGTACCAACATTATTATAAAACAAAAACTTTTAAAATGCTTCTGCAGGCCTGCGCACCCACAGTGGGGTCCTGCAAAAAAAAACGGAAAGTGTGACTATTACTGAGCCGAAAAGGACCTTTATTGTGAGTTACCAAAATTAAAATCAGCCAACTGTGTCATTTTATGTAGTTAAAAGAAGCCTCTTGGATGTTTTTTCTAACTAGCTTTGATTTTCCTCTGCTTCCTTTTTATATTTGAATTCAGAGCTAAAACTTCTCATCACATTACTTAGCAGGCTCATGGTAAGTGTAGTAACTCACAATAAAGGTGTTTTTTCGGCTATTATTGATCAAACACAAAAAGTCACCCCTGTAACTGAGAAAGGGTTCAAGCTAAATGCTGATACAAGGCAGAGGAAGTTGCCAAGAAGCCATCATCTTTAGGTAAAAGGTTAGAAGAACATCTATTTCCCTTCCTTAGTATATGGGCTCCAAATGAAATGTAGCCCACCCTCTGGCAACCTTTTGTGTAATAGTATAGTCCTGCCACTGGTCAGATGGGGATATGATCAGATATTATCTTTTCTGTAAGGTGAAAAAAAATCAATATGTAAAGAAAGGACAACCCTCTTTTACCTTTAGTTAGAATCAATGCAAAAATTTTCCTGTCATATTTTGTCTGGTACCTCGCTGAAAGGACCTTCAATTGTAAAAACAATGGCAAAAAATATCAGGAGTTTTATAACTTTTTAAAATGTTGCTTTATCTCTATGTGCTAACCAACACACAACAATCTTGCAGTGATTTAAGAACCAACTACATAAAGGGAGGGAAAGTCACATAAACAAATATTTCCACTTTGTGTGCCTATAGTGAGCTGGGCAGACACTGATTTCCACTCATACCCCCAAACAGTCCAGCCCGCCTCAACAAAAGACATGAGAAGTATTTTTTCTCTCATAAATAATGCATTTCACATGAATCAGCAGCTTAAATGTGTACAAATACAGTACTGTTTTATCTGTAAACAACAATGCAGAAAGCACATCTGTCTGTTTTGGTGTGCTTGCTTGGACAAGCGTGTGCTAAAACAATGGCTATCTAGAGAGGCAAGCGTTGCAGCCGACTCTCCTTTAGTCTCCCTAAAAGGAGGAACGTGGGAAAAGAGGAATAAGAGTCATTCATCTTCTCACTGGCTCATTCACTACCTCTCTTTCTTACTCTCACCCCCCTCCTCTTTCCGCCTTTCACACCACACATTTGTTCCCATAAATGGCCTCTTCTGACTAAACCCCCCACTTGAAAATGCTCTGTTGTTGCAACCCCGACAAATATGCACTTCATGCAAACACAAAGACACACCGCACACAAACACTCTCACACACTCCTCTGTGGACTCAATCCTCCACACTTCTGAAACAATCCTCTACTGAGGTGGCTTACATTTCAAAGAAAATTATCTCTACTGCTGCAAAGCAACCAATTACTGGTTTTAAAAGTTGATACCTGTCTCATAGAGCTAATCCAACACTACTGACCCGACATTAATTCATCCTCTTTATCCACCTCTGTCTCACTCTAATGCACATTATCCCACAATCAAATACCTTCACATCCTTGGCGTTCATTCGCGTGCCCTCTTTGCCGACAAAAATATCATCTATATCCACCAGAACATGCCGGTCCAGGCCCAAGGTGAGCTTTCTGTCTGTGAGGTAGGAGATGGCATCCACCAGGATGAGTCTGTGGAGCCAGTAGCCTAGTCCCTGCCCAAAGAGCACTCGTCTCACTCCATCATAGAGTCCCATGTCTTGCACCACTGTGGCTTGGAGGCCAAGGCTGAAACCAGGTCCTGCATTGTCTCCGCTCCCGGCTCCTGCTCCCTCTTTAGTTCGTGCTAACAGCACAGCCTGAAATGTTGAGTGATTAGATGAGAACGAGGTCCAATCCTCCCCAGGTAAGGCTCCTCGATCTGTGCCTGGCTTGGTCAAGTGAAGGAGTGGTGAGCTGGACACCACGCAGCAGTCCCAAAGTGCCTGGTTGGTCCTTAGTACGAGAGGCAGGCCTCGCAGTTTGAGGACTGAGGGAGAATTCTCTGTAGATCTGTAGAAGCCGATAATGCCGACTCTGTACTCAGTACAATATTGATGCAACAGCTGTCTGTTCCACGTATCTGCATGTGCATATTTTAATAGATTCTCATAAATGATGAGTGAATACCGTCCACGGCCTTTTTCTGTCAGTGGCGGAAGGTCACCCTTCCCTGAGGCAATCTCCATCCGGAACTGGAAATGGGCTGACTCTAGCATTGCCACAATGTCCTGGCCCAACTGAGAGTACTGTGACTCTACCAGCACAAGCACCACTGGATCTGTGTGGACATGCGTGTGCGGAGGATTAGGAGGGTACGGGTAGGGAAGCTGACGGTACGGGGACATGGAAAGCGGCTGTGAGCAGGCAGGCTCAGCAGATTGTCCAAGATGCATTGAGGGGGAAGAGTTGGAGAAGAGAAAATAGGCAGAGAGGAGCAGGGAAATTAGGCAGCAGGAAGCCAGAAGGAGCAGGAGTCTACGTAAGTGGCGCCGAAATCTCACAGCCACTGTCATCTCGAACTGTGGAAGTACTGTCTGTCAGACTAATAGATGTCTTTTTCAGTTTTGCAGGTGTCTAGAGATTTAGGACAACCCAAGAGAGAGTCTGTGTGAGCCACTCTGGGGTATGTCATGTCACCATGGCAGGTGAGTAAGGAAGCAGAGCTGGATGTTGGAAGATGGGTCTTGATTGAAGAAACACAGTGAGGGCTTTCTCTCTTCAGGTCCTCACGGAGGAGTCACATGTAGAGACAGAGTGAGGGCTGATTGATATCTGCAAAGAAGGGGGACAAGGAGAAAAGTAAGGACTAAAATTCATTGTGCAAGGTTGAATATCCTCCATTAGCTTTGTGTGTATTTGTGACTGAATGTGTACCTATGTTGTGCCACCCTAGGGAATGTGAGGGCACAGCTGGTAACAACAGAACTGATTGAAAACAACTTGCATCCTCAGGGCTTAGTCAGTCTCTGAAACGCACACATGAATACACGCACACACACACACACACGCACGCATGCAAAATGACATCCCAGTTAAAACATGACACAAAATTCAATCCACACAAATAAACAACAGCTGGTTGTGTGCTAATGTAGTGTTGCAGGGAGGTGGATAGGGGCTCAACTAATCAGTCCCATAAAGCTCCGCAGAGAATTCCTCTAATTGTGCCAAACTCTGAGCACCTCTGTCCTATTTCTGAACCTAATCATCTGAAATACCACAAAATTAGAGCTGGAATCCTTTTGCCAAGAGCGCTAATCTAAAGGGAGGGGAGCCCACGACAGCACAGAGGAAATGAAGTGCAAGAATAAGAAAGAGTGAGAAAAGGGAGAAGGAGAAAGGAACAAAACGCAATGAATTATAGAAACAGACAAAAAAGAGCAGGATTAGCATCTTAATGTATGTGCCGAGAGCCAGGAAGAAGAAAAGATCCCAAAGCATCTCTTTCTTTCGCTTGCCTATTCTCTTCTCCTCCTGTTCTGTCTCTCTGCACCCCTCTTCTCCACTTCTGTCAGTCTGAATATCAATAGCCTCTTCTTATATTCTCCATATCTGTCCTGTTTTTATTCTTCACTTTTAGGGAACACAAACTGGGAGAAGGTCAAAGAGGAGGCATTCCAGCCATATTCCTTAAATATTAGATCAGAAAATGAGACAGAGGGAGAGGGAATATTCTACTCTGCTCTTTGGAGACCTGCCAGCAGAAAAATGAAAACTAAATTACTTCCTCTAGTAAGTGTGAGAGGAGCTAATTGGTGCTGTAATGACAATACTCTTTCTAAAAATCTTTTATTACATAAAAACTAGGCATATATAGTGCTTGAAGGAATAAATGTATAGTTTCAATGATCTGTTTATCTGTTGCACTCTTTAAATGCACCTAAAATCATTTTATTATGATTACAAAGAAGGTTTCAGAGTAACTTGTGTGCCTTCAGTTGTATAGCACATAAGGTAAAAGTGCAAATCTTTTCCAATCCATTGCTTTACACTGGCAGTCATCTGGCAGAAGAAGGCTTTTACACTTTTCTCTTGCACAAAAGACAGCTTTGGTTTGGAAAAAAAAGTTAGTCACAGTGTGGAAAATAATGTTTCTTTCAAGTCAATATATCAATTATTACCCAGATAATATTGGCTCTCCAAAATCCTAATTTTACTAAATAAAGACCAGAGCTAGATAAATATAATATACAGTGCTCAAGGAGATACTAAAATTATAAATGAAACTCACTGCTAATTAGTGATACAGCTGTTCATCAGAATAATAATAGAAAGTGTTATGTAAGAAAACAAAAGCTGTTTCAGTTAAATATTACTGGGTTACCTGTAGAAATACTGTTTGATTGTTATTATAAAAAATATATATATTTCTATACGCACAATATGTATTAATGTATACGTGTATGGTTGTTTCTTTTACAATAAAACATTGGTATATTTTAACTCATGGTTATTTAACTGTCAAAATCAAAATTTTGAAAAAGATATGAGCAATAAAAAAAAACAGGCGCATTACTTTTTAAGATTACATTGTGTTTTATTGACCTCATTGAAGATGAATTATTGAAGCTCATATTTGGACATTTGGAATAAAAGATCCATTCAACCTGTTAACCTGTTTTTTTGATCGCTACAAGCCACAAGAGGACGCTCGCACCGGTTTTTGAATGAGCTCACGTGGAAGTTTCCCCCCTCAGATTAACAACTTAAAGAGAAACAAATAAATAACATCATTTTTTTCGATATGTTTTAGTAACGAGATAGTATCTTGCTGACTATTTAATGTAGGGAATAAACAGTTTTATTATAAAAGTTATGGAATTGTGCTGCGCATATCATGCACAATGGACACAAACTAAACTAAACAAAAAAAAAAAGCCACAATTAACTTAATTTACTTGTTACTTGTTGTTTTTTTTAACTTTGGAGTAATTGAACGAATACTGCTTCTAACAAATAAATCAAAATAAAAAGAAGATCTTATAGAGGAAACTATAGAAGAAACTATAACAACATATCGCTTCATTCAACAGTTTTCCGCTGTTAATGTTGGGGAACCTACTCTCCAGCTTACCTCCAACCTGAAGTGAGATGTTTCCGTGCCGCAGAAAGCGAGGTGGAGGAGCGCTGACAGTGATGCTGCTGGTACCGCTGACGGATGCGGGGCTCCGGTCTCGGTGGCGCACCATCCCCGTGTGTTTTTGGATGCTGAGGGGTTGTGCCATCACCGCCTCCTCCTATTCCTCCCCCACTCTCTCTACCAAAGCGGCAGGGTAGTCCAGCCGGAATGATTCTCTCTCCTCCCCCCTTTCATCCCTCTTTCTTTTCTCTCCCCCCCTCCCGTTATACCTCCCTTTGCCACCTCTATCTCTGCTTCTGAATCTCAGCTCGTTAAGGTGGGCTGTAGCAGCGTTGCTCCGACGCTTCGGGCTGCGCGCCGACGACTGGCTGCCGCGCGTAAATGCTGCCTGGGTTATGAGCGCCTACACTGGCGGAGGAGGTTGAGGGAGAAAAGGTGGAGGAGATGGGGGAGGAGGAGAGAGTGGGAGAGAGAAGCGGGGTGGAGTGGGGTGGGGGGGTGATTGACACAAACAGCCTTTTTCTCGGGCATCAGCTATCACAGGGTGGGTAAAAGCACTCGGCCCGTTAGTTGCTGTACTCGGATAAGGGATGTCATTTATGGCTATGCGCTGCTGCGTACTGAACGCACCCCTCACCGGTTCCCCCAAGCAGTGCTTTAAAATAACTTTCATCACTGAGAGACACATTAAAGGAAAGCAGGGGAAAAAAAATCAATGTTTAGCCCACCAGAGACATTATAAAAAGGTACCATCTCAAATAGCATACATGTCATATGGGAAGGTTTAACAGTGAGAAGATGGGATGATTAATACTACGGAAATGGATTAGGGTCACTGAACAAAATAAAAAAGTTTACAGATTTTGAAATATTTCAGTTTCATATGGGAATTCTGACTTTAATCTCAGAATTCTGAGGTTAAAGTCAGAACTCTGAGAAAAAAGTCAGAATTCTGAGAAAAAAAAGTCAGAATTCTGAGAAAAGTATAATTCTGACTTTTTTTCCTGATATTATACAGAAATAAAATTTAAAAATCAGTTAATGTTTTTTATTTTTTCAGTGGCCCTAATCCTCTTCAGTATTAGTACAGTATTTATTAATTGGTTGTATTTTTGTCCTGGTTGTTGGACTCCTCTCACAACAGAAAGCAAGACAAAAATCCTTTTTATTCCCTAATTTGTAGTCATCTTTGATTGTTTTTACTTGCTCTTATTTGTTCCATAAAGTTTACATCCCCAACATTAATAAATACCTTGAATCATTACCAGTTTTCATGATTCTGTAACACAATCAATGTTTGCAATGCTGAGTTCAAAAGTTCTAACTGATATCTATATGATATGCAAAAATGGTGACTGTTTTCCAAATGAAAATTGTGGTAGGTAGGCATATCAGATCTGCACAATCAACAACTGATAACAAAAACTGTATTCAAATCTAAATTATAATTAAGTTTTTACTGGAAAGCAAATTTAGCCAGGCATTCTTTTTTTGCTATTAACTCAAATAAAACAAGATTTATCATTATGAAATTAAACATGTCCGTGTAATTTTTATTTTTTATTTTAAGTAATTATTATCTAAACAAGATAAAATCCATCCTCCCAATAACATGGTTTCATGCCCAGACATGCCTCAGCTGAAATCATAAATGGAAAAAAGACCAAAAAAATACATCCATTTGTATTTTTGTGTTTTTCTGTTTGCAATGAAGATCCTCCTTTACAAGAATTCCCTGGTATTTTATAAACAATTAAACCTTTGAGATGTATCTGAGGAAAATGCACTGGTAAAAAAAACACACACACACACACAAAAACAAAGCAAAAACAAATAATTGCTGGATAGATAATTTAAGACATCCAGTCATACTTATATACACAAGCAGAATATTATTTTAAAAGGGGAAATATGTTTGGAAACTATCAGAAGGGTTATCAAGCAAGATACATTTATTGGCACCAGTTTATAGAAATGCCTTTTTAATTAGTCCCTCTTGGGTCAGCGTCACCATTCACAGTATAATTCATCAAGGCTTCTGTCACTAAAGCAAACTCTAGCTCAATTTATGTTTAACCCAAACAGCCTCAATCCAGTTTGAATGCATTAAAATCTGTCTTTAATTCTGTCAATAATCATCCTAGGGGTTTTCAGTACCGGATAATCAGCTTGATTCTTGTGCTTCCTCATCTGTTTAAATGTACACAAATCAACAGAGTAAACACTTTTGTCCTGCAGAGTTTTTGAAAAAATACAAAAAATAGAAGCTCAGATTAAACCAAGGGAAATACTTTATTAGAAAGAATACAGTTTAAGTTGGTGAGCACAAACTTGATGGACTTAGAGGTTTTAATCAATCTCAACAGATGCCTTTGCTGACTAACAAGCAGCCTAACCACTTCCCATATAGTGTCATCTAGTTTTGATAACAATAAAAAAAAAATAACAAAAACCTTAAAATATCTTTATCTTTTTCAGACTATCATACATGTCATCTTTTTTCTTGAAAACCCAAGCTAAAATCTGTGGTTTAATTAGCATTGACTGTTTTGGGTTAAGAGATGCAGCCTATTCTCTTTATGAGTGCATATGCAATCGTACGAAAAGTTATGCACCGTAATTTCGTACGTTTTGGACGTTTTTTTCGTCGTATGCGCATGCGCATCTGACGCACCATTCATGAATATAGAATATAAATTACAATTAGCCCTAACCCTGACCCTAAGATATAAAACAGCAAGCAACGTAGTTAGAGACATGAATAAGTGATGATTGCACTATTTTTTCCCATTTTTACGTCCGTCCGCGGATCTGCTTTTTTTTTTTCTGTCTGCCAGCACATGCGCACTAATGTGGTTTTTTGAGGAAAAACTTTTCGTACGATTTCATACGCACTGATAATGAGAATATGTTGAGAGATGTTAGTCATGGTGCTGCGGCTAAGCAAGTTCAACCTGGATACAACTGAAATTATTATTTAAAAAAAGTATCGTCCTTAATTTTAAGACAATTTATAAAAATAATTAATATTTCAAATATCTAAATATTTTATTCCACTGTACCATCCATGTTGAATACCACGTAAGATATAGCATTAGCACTATCTGTTAACTGGCTAAAGTTGGACTCAAATATACATTTTTGCTTTTACACAAACATTGTCTTAAGACAGATAATAATCTTTATTAAATGAATATTGATTCATATAAAACCCATTTAAACACAGTACATGGATGTTTTTTTTTGTTGGACACCATGCTTTGCCTTTAAGATTAGCACTTTGGCTAAACTTAAGCTGGAATTAAATCTCAGCTTGTTAATAATTTTTTTTTTTCCAAAACAGAACTTGTTTCAGCTGAATGCCTTTTGAAAGTTGTTCTTTTTCACTAAACAGGTCTGTAAGTTAACATAAAGCACATATAAACCACCCTTTAAAAAAAGATGGAGCAAAGGATGACTGAACAATCATATTGTTTTAATTTTTTTCAACAAATGTTAAGTATAGTATTTGTCTTTTCTCAAAAATAACATTGAATGCAGGTAAAGGTTCTATCAATTGTATACATTTTAAACTAATGTGCTTAATAACTCTCATGATTAGAATTTATTGCCTTGACAAATTCATTTTCATAGTGTATGTTTTTCTGCATATTAGGCCTTTCCTTTGAGTGCTGATCAAGGAGCTGCAGCTTGTCACTCAATGTTTTAACTTGATTAGGTGTTCTCCTTTTACTCCCTGCCAGTTCATCAATCTCTCTAACCCATTTTCTTTGACACACTCACACAAACCTCAGCAGAGCTGGTGCGCCCCTCATTCACATTATAATGGCTTTACAATGGGGCTTATTTAGTTTGTGTGAAGTGTATAAGTGAGCAGACACCAGTCAGCATGTGAAAAAAACCTAAAGAAAATACATGGACCTCAAGAAACACTCACCATTGTATTCTTACTGAAGAACTCACAAGCAATGACACAGGTTGATCTATAATTTGCAAAAGAAAAAAAAAGAAAGAAAAGAAAACCAAAGGAAAAAAAAACTGCTGCTGTGAAGAGGAAGGAAACAGAGAAAATGATGAATCTGGAATCCTATATAGTATTGAAAAGTATATAGCCTATCTAAAAGATTATTTTTTTATTCAAGAATATGAATATTGACCAAGCTTGGAAAAATCCACCCTCACCTGCAATCCCCACTGATATTGACCAGTGTGCCCCAGTGCAGCTAAGGCTACAGGGTAGCTTGCCGGCATACAACGGGGCCGAATACCCTTGCCTTGCAAAATTATTCGGCCACCTTAAACTTTATGACCATTTGCCACATTTCATTCTTCAAAAGTAAAGATATAAAACTTTATTTTTTTGTGAAGATTCAACAACAAATGGGACACATTTATAAAGTAGAACAAAATGTACTGGATATCTTAAACTTTTTTACCAAATGAAAAACGGAAGACTCGGGTGTGCAAAATTAGTTGGCCCCTTTACTTTCTGTGCAACAAATTCTCTCGCAGAGTTCAGTGAGGATCTCTGAATGATCCAATGTTGACCTAAATGACTGATGATGATAAATAGAATCCACCTGTGTGTAATCAAGTCTCCATATAAATGCACCTGCTCTGTGATAGTCTCAGAAGTCTGTTTAAATCGTAGAGAGCATCCTGTAGAACAAGGAACACCCCTGGCAGGCCCGATATACTGTTATGGAGACATTTAAATCTGGATTTGGATACAAAAAGATTTCCCAAGCTTTAAAATTCTCAAGGAGCACTGTATCAGACTACTGCGAATCTATGAAGACCGTCCCTCTAAACTTTCAGTTAAAAAAAAAAGAAGACTGATCAGACATGCAGCCACAATGCCAATAATTACTCTGGATGAACTGGAGATATCTGAGATCTACAGATGAGGTGGGAGACTCTGTCCACAGGACAACAATCAGTTGTTTACTGCACAAATCTGGGCTTTATAGAAGAAATCAATTTCTTAAAGATATCCATAAAATGCATTGTTTAAAGTTTGCCACAAGCCACCTGGGAGAAACAGCACACATGTGGAAGAATATGCTCTGGTCAGATGAAACCAAAATCAAATATTTTGGCCTAAAAGCAACAAGTTTCATTACCCTGAACACACCATCCCCAATGTTAAACATGGTGGTGCCAGAATCATGGTTTGGGCCTGCCTTTCTTTATCAGGGAAAGGAAGATGTTTGAAATTCATGGGAATATGGATGGAGCCAAAAACAAGACCATTCTGGAAGGAAACCTGTTGGAGTCTACAAAAGACCTGAGACTGGGACAGAGATTTATCTTCCAACAAGACAACGATCCAAAGCGTAAAACAGAATCTACAATGGAATTGTTAAAAAATAAATAAATCCA